GGGGGGGGGGATCGAGGCCCCCCGGGGAAAAGCCGCGGCAGCCTCAGCATCCTCAGCCGCAGGCCTTTGTACTGCGCAGGCAGGGGCCGCGCTGCCCGCGCAGGCAGGGGCCGACCATCACCGCTCCCACCCGGGAGCTTCCCCTTCCGAGGCAGCCGACGCCCCCTTCCCTCCGCTTCCTTCTGTCCCCTGCAAATCAAACTTACCCCAGAGCAGAAAAAAACCCCCATTTCCAAGGGGAAAAAAAAACCAAACCAAACCACCCGGAGTCCATATTGCTTTTATAATTATTTCTCCTTTGTTACAACAAACCAGAAATACAAGATTCCATTGAAACTGGAACAGTTCACAGAACGGCTGAACTTAAAACTTGGAGGAGAGGGGGAGGACGAGACCCCTTCCCAAACCCAGCGGGGTAACGCGGGCAGCTGGTCTGACCGGAGGAGGCGGCTGTGGTTACACCGAAAGGTAACAGAGGAATTTTGGACCCCGTGTTTTTTTTTAAAAAAAAAAAAAAAAGACAGTTTTTTACCACGCTTTGCCATCACAGCTGTAATTTTATGTTCCTGCTTCCAATTCCTTTAAATAAACACTTGTTTTCTTGCAGATACAGAAACCACTGGTGCCATCTGTTCAAACACAATGCAAAGGAAATTCAAACTTTATCTAAAAACAAAAAAAAAAAAACCAAAACCAAAACCAAGGAAGTTTTCAACCTGGGAAGAGCTCGGCGCTAGGCATTAACAGACGGCTGGCTACCCACAGAAGAGGAAGTTTTGGTGCAAAACAAGGAGATTGGCGTGTCTAGAAGGAGCGCTACACCTAAGCCTGGCCTGTTCGCCCTGCTGGGAGGTTTTTTATTTTTTTTTTTCCCCCGCTTCAGATGGGTTAAACCGGACCGCGGGCGTGAACTCGGCCCTTCGGTGGCGCTTGGGGACAGGGCCGGTCCCAAAACGCAACCGCGGAGCTCGAGAGGGACGCAGACGCGCGATCCCGGCGGGTCAGCAGCGCCGACGGCAGCGGATTAACTGCAGCAGATCCGTCACAGTCACGTTTGGAGTACTCGGGGGGTGGGGGAAAAGGAAAAAAACCAAAAAGATATAAAAAACAATCCAAGAAAAGGTTTCATACACCAGAGAGTATCAAAACGTTACAGGAACACACTAAAGTCTGATCTCGGTAGAACAGGGCCGCTCCCTATTCCTGCGGGTCCTTCCAGCATGAATCAGGGTTTCCGTTTTTAGCTTATGGGCATCGACAGAACACACGAACTTCGACAACAGTCTCTCGGCACCACCTTCAGTCGTTTGTTTCCGGGTCTGTCTGAGCCATGTAAGCATCCAGCTCAGCATCGAGGTGTCCTTTCGTTTTAGACATGTAAGCATCTAACTGGTTGTCCAGCTGCTCCTTGGTCAACGCGGGACGTGCCGATCCTCTTCCTCGTCCTCGTCCTCTGCCGCGGCCTCCAAAGCCCCCTCGTCCCCGGCCCGCCATGCCGCGACCTGACAGTGAGACAAGATGACGGTTACGCGCTCCACCGGACCGAGCCTGGGGGTTTGCCGCGGCCGCCGCTGCAGCGCCTCCGCGGGGAAGTCCCGCGGCAGCTACCCCGCAGCCGACCTCCCTCTCCCGCAGGTCGGGTTCTGCCGCGCCGCATCAGCTCCCCAGGCCGCTCCTGTTCCAGTCCCGCAGCCCAGCCAGACGCGTGATCCGCGACTAAGAGCTACGCTCCCGGCTCAGGCTCCCACCTCTTCCAATCCCCCCTGCCCATTCCACACTTTTCTCCCCCACGGAGCGCACCCCGGGATCCTGCACTTCTCCGGGCCGGGCTGAAGCTTTTGGCAAAGCGGCAACGCCATTAACCGTTACAAGCCCATTTTTCCTACAGCACTTCAAACTGAGAGGTTTTCAGACTACTTCAGAAGCAGGGTACCCAAGAGCCCACACCCATCAGCGCGTGTCTGTCAGGCCAAGAAATAATGTTAAAGCTACAAGCCAAGGCTGCCAAGAGAGAGGCAGCTTCCCCGTAACCGTCTGCTCTAGCTCCTACAAACATCGGGCCAATCCCAAGCAACACGAGAGCGCGGTTTGGCTGCGTTCTACCCAAACATCTGCCTGGAACATTAACAACCCTTCCATCAACAGCTGGCTCCTGTATTTCCTCTTGCACTCCTGCTTTACTGCTGCTCTGATTTGTTGTTGAAAATAAAGAGTTCATTTACTGAAGACGTGATTCAGACTTTGAATTTAAGTTTGTTTTGCAGGGGTTTAGGTTTTCTCCTCTGTTAAAATTTTCCCCTCGCTCATTATTTTAAGAGACTCTTGGTTTACACAGGCTCTATATCGTTGCCTTCTGAAGTGCGAGGAGACGGTGTAGTCCTCCTCAACACGCTGGAAGATGACTCACTGCCTCGACTACTACTCAAAGCATCAGGTGGCCAGCGCTAACCTGCAGGAGTGGGCAACTTCGCCGAGAGTCCCCAGAAGCCCTCTAGCAACACTGACACAGCCAAGGCTCTCGGTGAGGCACAGGGGCTGGCCAGACATTTTGGGAAAGGAAGCCTGAATTTAGCACTAGGCCGTACACCGATTCACCAACAGAGGGGTTTGGGGGCTGCGTGTACTTACGCGTGCTAGCCTTAAACAGGAAAAAAGGAGTTAAAGCTTAAAACTCACTCAGCAGCAACGTGTCGCTGCTGAAGTCTGCACACACTAACCTCTGCCACCAAGTCCTCCGCGGCCCATGGCACCTCTGCCTAGACCACCTCTTCCAGGGCCACCGCGGCCTCTAATGCCACCCCTCCTCAGGCCCATCCTGGGGGACATGCCTCGTCCTCCACGAAGCAGGCTCTGACCTTCAAGGGAGAAAGGGAATTCCCATCAGAAAGAAATCAGTGTTCAGACCGAGCAACAGAATCGGAGGCACGTTGTCGAAAAGACGGCGTTACTGACATAAAAGCAACTCCAGTTCGGCCACGGTACTGACCTCTGAGTGGGACTCCTCCTCTCAGCAGAGCTCTCGCTCCCCGGCCACCACGCATGGCTCCGCGTGGCAAGCCTCTCTGCCCCATAGACAGTCCTCTTCCTCCCATGGCTCCGCGAGCAAGGGGGCCCGCCGGCCGGCCTAATCGTGCCTGAATGTTACTTTTACCGAGGCGTTGCTTTAAGCTCTTCTGGAATAGAAGATTTTGAAGAAACAAGGAAGTCATGCAGCAATCTCAGACTTGCAACACAAGCAGCACAGCAATCGCCTATCAATAGAAGTAGTGTGTTTGGTTGGTTTTTGTTTTAAATAAAATAGAGGGTCACCAGCTCTCTGCAATATATAATCAATCTTCAAAGGAAGACAATCAAATCTGCTCTGGGAGGGCTAATTTGTGAAGGTCAAACAGAGAACAGAGACCTCTCCTGGAAGCAAGTGTTTGTACAGAGACAAGAAAGGCTGCAGATTTGGAAGGAAATATTTCTCTCCATTTTTAGCAGTGCTGCTCAGTCCAAATCAAAGCAGACACTCAATCCACAAGGCAGCCCACTAATCCTTTCTGCCGAAGGCGACAGTCCAAGCAAATCCCTGAGACAGAAAGCAACGACCCCTGCTGTGGCACAAGCCTCACCTGCCTCCGCAGAGCAAGTGACATCTGCGCAGCCACACGCCGCGGATATCATTCCCAGCGGCCAACTGCCCTGTCCTGGCTCGGCTTCCACACAGACCAAGGCAACAGCTAGGAAAAGCATCAACTTTTCCATCTATACTACGAAAAGAAAGCTATACCGAAGAAATTGACCCGCACCAGAACAGCAGGAAGAAGGAGCTAAGAAGCAACAGTGGGAACCTCCACACTTGGCTCGAGAACAAGAGCTCTCGGCCCTAGGAAGGTACGGTGACGGGAGCAGCCATCAAGGCTGTATTTCACGGCAGGTTCCAAGAGTTGCTTCCAGTTATTGCTTGTCTACCGGCCCCAAGCCTGTGGACAGCTGAATTGGTTCCTCTAAAATCAGTCTCTTCTGTAGCTGCAGTAAGATTTTAAGTTTTACTGCCTCAGAGTTTCGATAGTCATTCATTTTTCCAACAGCTGTAGCAGCCTAAAATGCTAACCTCTCTCTTTTGCCCGGCCTTGCTGGCAGAAAGGAGTGAGAAAGCACGTGTTATGTTCCACATCCAATTATTTGTTTACGTCACTTACCATGAGAGTTTAAGATGCACATCTAGAACCACAGTCAGTATAAATGTTTTTACATTTAAGAAAAACACAGCAGGTTTACGCAAACATTTGTGCACTCAGATGCAGAGGACGCAAAACACAAACCCACGAATCTAGCACCAGCAGTGCTCCGCAGGAGTTCAGAGAAGTCCTTTCTGAAGCACAGGTGACCCATCACCGGGATCAATGCTCCCCAGCACCTCTGGACACAGCGCATCCAGAAAGATCAGAAAAGCTCCCGGTGACACCAAGTACAGCACTTGTGAAAATCCAATCACCACATCAACTTCCAGAGCAACCTGCAACCTTCAAAGAGCAACCCGACATAAACCAGGTTTCCAAATTGCCCTACAATGCCCTTCCGCGGCCCTCCCTTGCAGCATTTAATTCCAGAAGACCACGAAAGCACGCCTATGCCCAACATAAAAATCAAATGGGTTTAAGAGCTAAGCCAAAAGACTCGTTCTTCCCCATTCCGCTGCGGCAACTCAATTCAGCAAGCAGAAACTTCATGTTTTCAATCCAGTTTCACTTACCGCTTGTGAAATTCTTAAAATAAAAAAAAAAAGTTTGAAAAGTTAAGCAAATAATTTAGACTACCTTGCCCAGAGCTTTTGTTTACAAGCTCTGCAAGGCTAACTGGCACCACGGTCTGTTTTTACAACAGAATTCTCAAGAGATCTTAAAAAGCAGCTGCATTCCTCTTTATCAGAGTGAGCCCTGAATGTGAGCACGTGTGGCAGGTTTAAGTATTCCAGCTATTTGGTGAAGCAGCTCAGCTAAGAAATTTCCAGGGCTTTCTCCTCATGTGCGAGATAACGTACAGAATTATATTTAACTACTGCTGTGGTCAAGTCATGCGGTGCTGCTATTTGAACTCACTGCACAGCTGTGCGGCACCACCCCACCGGTTTCCATCTGTGCCCTACACATACATTTTAAGCTAATCTTACCAGCCTTCCCATTTAAACGTAAGCTTTGAAACTTGCAAAACCCTCTACGGTCTGACAACGAGCAGGCTGTAGACAAACAGCTCTCTTCTGTACGGTATTGAGGTTTCTGTTGTAGCCAGATTTTGCTCCCTGCCCCTTCCGTAAATCCAGAGTTATGGAAAAGCACATTGACTGCAGCAGAGAAATCAAAATCTAGCATGTTCGCTTAGGTCTTCTGCTCTACCGCCAGAAGGCAATTTGAGGAACACACCGCAATCTGTAGCACTCATCACTGAAACGTGGAACGATAAAGACTCTTTATGTAAGGAAAATGCAACACTATGCCTTAAATCCAGGCCCGTGTTCTAGCATTCGCAAGCAATCAAAAAAATCAGTTTGTTCATCTGTTCCTCACAGCCAGCTGCTATCGAGGGAGTGCACCAAGAGAGGGTGGAGTTGGGGATGGGAGCAACCAGCCTCAACTGGATAGTAAGTACTGGAAACAATCTGCAGCAACTGTAACTGCAGCTAGATTGCGAGATGAAGCACTCAGCAGATCCAGAAACCCAGAATGAGAACATTTCTCTGAAAAAATAGAGAGGAGATATGAACAGCCAGCACAAAAACCCCCCAACTCAATAACAATAACCAGTAAGTTACAAAGCATTACTTATCTGAAGTAAAAAGTGGGATTTTCTGCAAGTCCCTTCTAGGTCTCTCATTTTTTAACTTTCAGGAGCATTTTTCAAAATCCACCACATCCTGAAAAGCCGTCTGCTGGTGACAGGCATCAACGGGCTGCCCCAGGGGACGCCACTTTTCTCTCACCTGTTTAAGCTTCAGAGCAGCCTGGACAGAAGGTCTATTCTCCATCTGCTGGGCCAGTCTTCTGTTTCTGGCACTGGCTAGCTGCTGCTGCTGCTGCATGGTAGCCCGAATATTCACTGGCATCGGCTGTTTGTTCTTCAGCATGTTAGTAAAGCTTCAAGGTCGAATAAAACGGGTGTTTAAATAAAGCTTTATTACATACATTTATTGGCATTTCATGGTTCTCAAGATTGGATCTCCAGATCCCATGAACCTTACGTAAAGAGTGGTACTTAGGTCACGTCATATGTGATTACGTATTCCTTGTTTTCCACAAGTGTGCAAGAACTGGAAACTCAGAAATGATGTTGTATATTAAGTGATAAAGCTTTAGGTTACTGATTTTAGAAATGGCAGAAGGAATGAAAACAAGCAATAAGCAGAGATGATCATGACAGATGGAAGAGGACATCACAGAAACAGAAAAGCAAACTGAAATCTGACTGCAAAAGCCAAACTAACCCTCAAAGATGTGAGAAAACTGTTTAAAAACCTCAATGCCAGAAGGCAGCGTTACAGAAGACATCGCCCTGAGAACAGACCGGCGTGCCTCCGGCGCACCACAGAACTGGTGCCGTAAGAAACGCCACCACCCAAGTGCGCTCGCTTATAAACAGTTCACTTGGCAATTTCTTTGGTGCACAAAGAATCTTCTGTCTTTAAGAGCTATACAGGAGCAGAACATACAGCCAGATGGCAAGCCTCCTCAGCAGCAACCCATCAGCTTTCTACTGCGTCCTGGGAGCTACACGAGACTGCAAAAGAAAACACTTATGGATGAGGAATATGGACTGACCAAAATGAAACAGGCCAGCAAGCCTTCCCTGCACTGCACCTCGCCACTTATCCTTCCTGGGGTAAGCTCCGAGCACCGGTTCGGGCTACATCTCACCGCAGCGCTTGCTAGAGCAGGAACTGCAGGCAAACGGCTCCCTTAATCCCTGGTTCAGTGACACTAACATCATTAATCCAAGAGCGATTACGAAGAAAGCGAAACATAACTGCAGCATCACTGTTAGTTGTCACTGTAGAACCGCAACAGCTCAATGGCATGGAAAAACAGAAGAATACTCAACAGAAGAAGTAAAGAAACCAAGAAAAGACAGAGATGGAGATGAAGCAAAGCATTTGCCTCTTACAAGGCCCAAAACATTGTTAAAGGGCCTTTGGGCTCGTTTAATGGCCTGCTGCATGCCTCTTACAGGCCAGACCACATGCACGTGTGTCTGCCTCGGACAAAGCAGCAAGCCTGCTGCAGCTGAGGTAACATGCTACCATGCTGCAGGGTCGACTATATAAATGTAAAAACATGTGGAAGAAAAAGGGAGGGTGTGAGGTTTCTCTCTTTGGTTATAACACATCCCACCATATTTATGTGTTGAATAGTTTAATATTAAACTGCTACGGATAAATTTCTCCAAAACACTTGCCCTTTTAACCTTGCGTACCACATTTGTTGCAGTTTAAGACAGAGGTGCATAGCCATCTGCTTGTTTTAGTGAGGTTAAAAGAGGGCAGAAACCACGTTGGTTTTTGGACACCGGATAGTGATAATTAAGTAAAAAAATTTCTTATGAGCTGAAGCTGCTGTTGGCTTCCTCACCGCTCGTTCAGAGACATCTTGGTGGTGCTCTTTAGCACAACCTTCGGTGCTGACTGTGCAGCCATCTTCAGATCAAGAGAATCTGCAAAACACAAGAACCGGATTTAACAAACAGCACGAAGATCTTGCGCTTACTTGACTAAACATTAAAAAAACCTGCATTCCGTCTCCTTTGGTGGAAAGAATCAAGAATGGGGAAGGTAACGGGTATTCTATTAATGCATTTTTCATAAGTTTTCTAGGCCACTGCCATGATACAGCAGGTTTAATAAATCAGCAAGTTACACTAACTCATCCTTAGTAAGAAATCATCTTTTCAGAAAGTGAAAATTTTACCATTGGCAGGAGTAATGCTGCGAAAATACAATCCATCAGCAGTCAAGATTGCACCCAAATGTCTTGTTTAGTGCATCATCTAGTAACACATCCTAAGCTTTTAGTATCAGCAAAATGGAAACCCCAATTTGTTCTAAACAGACACGTACCATATACTTGGCAATACAATTCCAAGATTAATCTACAGAAGTCTCATATACCTTAAAAATATTAAGGTTCCATCCTCCCATTATGATTGCCACTACCTGGACAGGGATAAACTGTAAGGGGGCAGTCACTTCGGCTTTTTAATATCTAATACTCTGGCAGGCAGCTCATCCGCAGTCCTAATGCGGTTCCCTAACCTGAGAGCCTGCCCCATGCCTCAGGAAAGCAGCAAAGGGATTTAAACTCAGCTGTTACTCATCTTTGGAGCACAGCTCAAGCCCGAGTGCTTTGGCAGGGATGAATACTACTGAAATGCGCTATGCTCAAACCCGCTACCTATGCGGATCGATTTCTATTTTTTTTCCGTATGAGTATCAAATTTAATGCTTAGGCGACCGCCGAAAAGTACTCATCCTCAAAATACCTCGAACAAAATACTTTCTTTACAATGTTTTACAGCCCATCTGCTAGAAATTGAGCCAACAGGCAGCCCCACCCCATTTTTTTTAAATTAAAAATGTTTTCAAGAAGGATTTTTCCTGAACAACAACCACAGCGCAGCTCGCAGAGGAAGCCCCGCTCCCACAAGGCCCCCCCACGTCCAGCCGAGGACGGGGAGGAAGGCGAGGCCTAGCCTGGGCCTTCGATCCAGCCCCGTCCCACCGCTACCCTACGAGACGGGGGGGGGGGGGGGGGGGGGGGCGCCGGCCTCCCGTGTCTGAACGA